CTGGGAATATGGATTGTTTGGCAGACAGGCATATCACTGAACCGATTTAGATGATTGTTCAAGCAACAAGCAACGAATATAAGAGCGATTCATTGCAGAAGTTGTTGCTGTTATTACTAGCAACCGTGATTACGCCAGTGCTGTCATGTGGGGGCGGTAGTGGTGGTTGTTGTATGTGTATGCCGGCAATGCGCACTCAACAACAACAATGCATGCCGCAAATGTCAGAGTGCAGACCCATGTGTTGTCCGTGTGGTGGTGGAGGCTTTGGCGGCGGATCGGGTCGTGGTGGACAAGCGTAAGTATTGCTTCTGGTTCAGTTTGCAATTGATTCAGTAAACTGCTGGCCTGATGAGGTTTAGTAAACTGCTTCAAAGAAGTGCATCAATAAACACTACATGTCCATGAACAAGCGGTCTTTGTATCAGCTGATTTGAGTGAATATGTTTCCGAAAGCACACTTTCGTTGTCGGTTGATGGTATTCATGATTTTCACACTTCTGTTTTGTTACGGTTTGAAATTATTATCAATAAACACTACATGTCCATGAACAAGCGGTCTTTGTATCAGCTGATTTGAGTGAATATGTTTCCGAAAGCACACTTTCGTTGTCGGTTGATGGTATTCATGATTTGTACACTTCGGCTTTGTTACGGTTTGAAATTATTCGCCAAAGCACTCCGGTGCAATGAGTGCGCAGCAAATTCAATATTCACAGGCAACATCCTGCCTGCACTGAGCATGATATTTTTCCCTTATCATTCAGAGATGAACATCCGTTTGAGTGTGATATGATGCAATGCTGAAAATTTTCCTCATTCCTTTCATACAATCATTCGCAGAGAGTTTCGATGCAGTGAGCCTTCGAACCGACAGTTTGAACTCGTTTATGGTGTGTGTGTGTATGCGAGCAATGCAAACTTCACAAACACAATCGCTTTGTATACCTCAAATTTCACTGCGCAAACCCATGTGTTTATAAACGAAACATTCTTAGTGTCCACCTTTGGTGATGCTCACCTTGGTTTCTGGATCGCGCATAAGCTGCTCATCGAAAAAGTGAAACTGAATCAAACCACATCTATAACATTTTTTGCCATCTAAAATAATTTGCTCATAGCAAACATTAGTAAGAAACACTGATGCTTCATTCATAAATGTCTAAAGCAGTTATTGAGTGAATGAATAACATAACGAGAACAATATGACATTAAGTAAGCATTCCTGGTTAATGTTCTCTTACAAAGTGTGCTGAAATTCAACTATTTCGCAGTTTGTTTTTAATCCTTCTGCAATGAGCAGTGTAGGCTAATTTTAGTAACAGAAACGCTGATCGATGGTGCACTTTCAGAATTCCCGTAATCTTGGTACCAGGCGGTAGTATGGGAGGCGGTGGTGGTGGAGGCGGTGGAGGTTATGCTTTACCAGGCGGTGGCGGTGGCGGTGGTTATTCCAGTGGAATGTCTAGTGGCGGACCTGTTGGTGGCGCTTATAGCGCCGGTGGTGGAAGTGGTTACGTTGGATGAAATCATTCGGAACTGCTAAAGAACCTCATTCTACCAATTTTACCGCTCGGTAATTTGGAACCTAGCTTTCTGTCTGTATACAGTGGATTGATCGATTTCCCAATGTTTAGGATTATCGTTGCTGCAATGTTAACACAATTATTGAATGTATATTTAGCGATTGATTGATGATGATTGATATCAAATAGCGATTGATGAGAATTTCATCTCGTATTTATTTTTCATCGAATATAAAACACTTTGAAAATTCAATTGTTTTCGATAAACAATTTACAATTTTCGAAAAGTCAGAATTTCATCAGACCATATGTGAGCCATCCGAAATGAAGCCATTCGGGATTATGGTGGATTTGAAATGTAGAGGTAATGAGGCATATTGCAATGTTCTAAAGTCTTGTTATTAATTTGAGTGACGGAAGAAACTGCTGACACTACTCGAAATTAACATAAGAAACTACTCGTAATTATGTGAATTTGCTCTGTTCATATCACCAGAGAGGAAATCGGATGACGTACACAAATGCAAATGATTTGTACCTATGCAGAATCATGAGGCTCATCCACTAATCCCAGACCACCACATTATTGCGATTTTGTTTCTGGAGCAGATGAATCAGCCGAGTATGCGATATACTGAGTTCAGATAGCGATCATATTCGTGGAATCGTTCGCAAACAAACCAAGATTGATAATGTCATTCGGCATTGAAACGGATTTTGTTACAGTCGGACAGATTCTAGGATGTCAAATAAGGGACCAACTGTAAAATCAAAAGAATAAAGTTTGTTGAAATATCATGTTGGTTTCTTCTTCGATGACTGAAATAATATTGCTGGGCAAATAAGATGTCAAATATTCACACTCATATATCTAAGTTCACCAAAATGGCAAACAGGAAAAGGCAAACCCACAAAAGACTGAAATTTTCAGGCGAACTAATGAAACGTTGCGAATTGCTGAATTGTCACATGATTTTAAATTTTGATTCGTCTAGCGCCACAAAATAGTATCGGCCATGATAATGAAGTGCCGCACCTTGCATTGTTGAAAATTCGATTCAATTCATTTTGTTGTTTGAGAATTGAAAACAAATGGAGAGACTGATTTCAAAAACCGGATAAGTTTAAACAAAAGCCATAAAGGTATCTTCGGAGCCATTCCTTAAAAACCACAGAGACGATGCAGCAGTCAATTTGCTCGTTTTTCATCTGCAGAAGTGCATTCACGAAGAATGTTATATGATTGATTGCATTGCCCCTTTGTCGAGAGTAGTTGCCATCTTGCACTGATCTGTGCTCACTTCACAATCGGTTCCGTATCACGTATCAGTTTCACTTTTTCATCGACAATTCGTGTCACATGGAAATTTCCATCTCGATATCATCCCTTAAATTTTCCTATTTATCATTCATTTGTGTGCATTTCACAAACAACTTTCGTAAAGAACAAAACACTCATAGTCATTTTGTTTGTTGCCAAAAAAGATACGTTTGTCATATGGATGAATGTTTCTTCGGAAGTTGAGTTGTGCTTCAGAACTTCAGCAAGATCAATATTCCTTTCACTTGAAATAAGTATCATTAATTCTATCAAAGAATGAAGTAAGGTTATTGCTTGCGAGATTGTTCCAATCGCTTCCACTGCGGAATTTCCACTGTGAAATTCGGTGCCATTCTGTGACCGATGTGCGCAGAAAAGAAAAAGTTATGTTACAAATAAAGGTTGAAACTGAATTGCTAATTCGAACTATTCAGAGCAACCATTTTTACCGAAAACTGCACACACTTCGAACCACAACTTGCAGTAGAGTCCATAAACTGAAACGCAGATTATTCCGAAAAGTAAACTGATCGTGAGTAATCTTATCATTTATAATGCAGTATTTCAGCATCATTTGATGAGCACCACGTTAAGTCATTGGCACGCTTAAGTCCAGTCGATCTCATAGAAGTCCACGGTATTCTGAAATAGCATCACCTGGCAATCGGATACACTGTGAGGAGAAGATCACCTCCTTACTGAACAAATATCAACTCGAATGCTCAGAGAAAAATCCATCATATTGCAGGAATGCAAAAGTGCGACCAATTCAAAACACTTGACCACCGTAGAACATCAGTGCAGCGTTTAGAGGCTCTTCTGTTCTGGTGCTTAACTTGCTCTAGCTAGCTGTGAAATGAAATTTCCCCATGACGGCTGTGACTTTGATAATGATTCATAAAATTTGATAACATACTAACTCAGCTGTTAAGGAGGCATAAAAGTTGCTGGAAATACGCATCCATATTTTGTGCTTCCATTCCTTTGAGAATCTCAAACTGAAGTCATCAGTACACTCAAATTTGTTCACGAAACCAGCGGTATTCAATGTTGTTCGGATGAATCGTGCTGCTAACAATAAGTGAGCAACTTCCATCACACATTCATATGTCTCCACACGATGTAATGATTTGTTGACCACTGAACTACCGAACACACAAATTTACCTTTTCGAAGCAATCACGCTCTCTCAACACCAATGCTCCGTGATTTCTTGACAGATTTGGATTCAAGCGTAATCATAAAGATTTCGAAGCTGAATTCTGTCGTTCAGCAGGAGTTCATGTGTTTTCCAAAGTATGATTCAGAATATGACTAGAAAAATGACTTCGGCATTTCAGCGATATGTGACGATTTTGCGTGTGATCCGCGATAAATCAGTTCTGCGGAAAAGTACACTCAGTCCAATTACAGGAATTCAAGCAAGGAGGGCAAAACTCTTAAGTTTCAGAGTTTATATAAGTACCTCTTATTAACCAGTCATAATCAGAAGAGATTTCCTCTTTGAACATTCCACGGACTATTCCGATATGTCATAATGGATAGTGTTAGAAACGGAAGATTTTTGAGTGAGGATTGCAATCCCCGTGAGCGAGGGCACAGATGGCGAGGGATCACTTTAAAGGGTACCTCGAACCAAAATTTCACGAGTTAGGACCGGCGGGCTCCGCCTCCCACTCCCTTTCATGACTCTAATAATGAGTAGTAAGTATTACTAAAACATTTCACTGGTTCCTTATTATGATTTTATAATTATGGTTGTTCGAAGACTTAGAAGAGACTAAAAACATCACGATGCATAGAGAGTGAATTGTGAGAGATCAACAGAAGATGGATGATTGAATCAATCAATATCAAATCAATCAATATCAGATTGATTGAGTGAGGAAGATCAGAACTGAACGAAGCGAAGGTTTATGAGAGAAACGGAACGTCTGGATTATGATGTGAACTGATGCGCACATTAAAAAAACAGATTAAATTCAAACGTTCACGGATGGAATCAATGTGTTCTTAATGTGATCATCACTTGATTATGGTGAATTTGTCATAATTATGGTGATAATCGTACGATGAAAACACACGGCAGAAACCAAAAAATTCATCGAAATTTCTTTGTTGAGAAATTTTGGATCGTAATTTTTGGGGTCATCGTTTCGATTTTAACGATGAACTCGCCACTTTCAATACGCAATCGTAAGTAACACATATAAAAAGAAAATCTACGGATTTTAGCAGCAGTCGTTGCTGTGATTACGTGATCAACGCTCGGGCGTAACGATACCCGAAATGGTGAGCCCTTCAAATCCATACAAATTTCTATTTTTGTGAAATATTTGCAGGAAATTTCTGAACACTATTTGTATCTGATGGCATT